CACATCCCCTGCTCAGTTCTTTTCTTCATAATCCCTTTCTTCACGTCTTTTTCTCTCCGCCTCTTCTCTTCTTCGTCTCTCCACCTCTTCCAAGCCCTCTCTTTCCTCTCTCTCCTCTCTCATTATTATCCATCTCACCTCTTCCTTTTTAGAAGCGTATCACACAGTATGTGATCAAACACAGGAAATCAATGATGGCAGGTCAGAGAGATCTGGGGTGAACCCTGTGAGAGATGTGTCTCCATGCATGACACATCTGGAATCCTCAGAATGCTGGCTCCACACTTGTCATGAGTTCACTCTGATACATTGACTCCACCTACGCAGAGATCCAGACTCCCCTCCAGGCCTGCAGACTCCCTGGGTTCCCCACAGCAAGTCCTCAAGTCTCTAGAGTGCAAGAGATGCCTTTCCTGTGGTGGAAGGAGTCTCAGGGTTCATCCTCTGTCAGGGACAAGGAAGACCACTGTGTAGTTAATGCTGATACAGGTAGGGTTTGCTCTGATGCAGTGCCTGTAGAGCCCAAAGGAAGAAGGCGAAGGCAGTGGGACACCATCCCCACCTCTGCTTCTACCTCATCAGCTTCTGTTTGATCTGTTTCATATCTAACGCATATGCCAGTTGTGAGCCTACCTGCCCCTTTAAGTCCAGGTGAAGTTGCCTTATACCTCACCCCACCCCCAGTCATACAGGCCGAGAAAGTTCAAATCCTTTCAAAGCATTCTGCTATTGACAGCTTCCTGCTGTCTCAACCCCTGTCATCGTCTCCTCTGCCTCCTTGGCAAAGCAACTCACTCAACACATGTTTATGGAGCACCTCTATGTTGGAGGCACCATTCTACATGCTGGAAAGATAGCAAGGAAGAAGACAGTCAAATCCTACCCTCCAGGAGCTTTCACTCCAGTGCGGGGAGTCAGACGAATGGAAAGCTACATTACTGCATGATATATGCTATGAAGAAATAAAAAAAGCAGAGTGAGGCATGAAGAGAGATGGGGATAATGTAGGGAAGAGGCAAGAGAATTAAAATGTTAACCAAGCCACATTCAGGAGACTGCAATGGGCTGATCAGCCCTGCAGCCAGGCCAGGAGGACACCTGCAGAACTAAGGAAGATTTCTGCTGGGATCGCCAGCCACCCATTCCCCACACCTGTGGAAGGGGAAACAGGCAGAACAGAGTCTTTAAGTGGCTATCCTATACAAATAAAATTGTTCACTCCCTATGGCTAAAAGCATGGGGAACCTATGGATTTAAGGCTGGGAACTGCCAACAGGCCTTCAGGCTACAGACTCTTCCCTTTCTCCTTCCTCACTGTGTGTACATATCAAAGGAAATGGGAACTACAGAATGATATATAAACTGAATTCCCTGAACACTCAGAGTTCCTCTCTGTCTCTGAGAGGAGACCACACTGTCTGTGGAGTGTCACGCCTTTTCTAATAAACTTTCCTTTTGACTCTAATTTTGGCTTGTGTGTTGAATTCTTTCTACACACTTCACCGAAAGACCCTCTTCTCTTGGTGCAGGGTTTGGTCTCTCCCTGCCCCAACCTGGGAAAATTTTCCCTGTCCTGCATCTGGGAGGCTGTTGTCTACTGGGAGTTCCTCTGCTCAGATAAACATTTGCAAAGAGACCTGACTAAAGTGATAAAAAGAAATATAGATAATTTGGGTGAAGAGTGGGCCAGGCAGAGCAAACAACAAGCACCAAAGCTCTAAGCAGGAAGTGTGTGGGATGAAGTTAGAAAAAGCAGGGAGGGCAGGGTGGCTGGTGGTGAGTGAGGGAGGCTGGTGGGAGGTGAGGTCTGGGCAGCAGCCAGGGGGCAGATGGTGCGGGGCCTGGGAGGCCATGATCACGTGTTCAGATTCAGAGAGTGAAGGGAGCCATTGAAGGGTTTTGCCTCTTAAAAAGGTAACTTGTTCTGGATTTTGATAACAGGAGAATGGACTCAAGGATGGGAGAGAGTGGAGACGAGAAGCCATAGCAGGAGCAGCGTGGACCCCCCCAATTTCCGTGGGTCCCTCTCTCCTGCCCTCCTGGACTGCGTGAGAGCTATTCCCTCTCTCAAACAAAGAAGCTCTGTCC